ACTATAATATTGCTTTTGAAATGTTTTACAATATTGGTTATACTGTATGTAAGTAATAACTAAGTAGGCAAGTTAGTATTAAACTTTCCTGAAATAATAAAAGAAGTGTTATTTCTTTCACAATGTATACTTTATTATATATAATATCAAATAAAGAAATAATGTTTACCTACAAGGGAAACCCTCCCAAAAATAAATAATATAATTATAGAAACCTATGAAACTCTTTATAAAATATATGTTAAAAATTTATATCATGTGTTTAATAAAAAAGATTATATAAGACAGATATTAAAATGATATAATTATAAATTTATCTTTTTTAATTATTATAATTTATTATTTATTAAAATTTAATAATTGTTTTAAATTAAATGAAAAAAATCGATAAAAAGTAAAGTTTTTAATTAAAATCAGAAGATTTAAATTACTTTATATAGAAAAATAAGATAATTTGGATTTGTTACAAATTGAGTAATTTAATATTTTATTAACAAGTTTTTATAAATTTCTTAAAGAAAAATCAATTAATTCTATCAATAATAATTATCAATTAGAAGTATTTTCTTTAACAATATTGAAAAGTAATAATATTATCTATTTTTTATTAAATTTTAATGGAAATTTGTCTTTTTTTAATGTTGTTATAAGTAAAAAAAAAAAAAAACCAAAAAATTAATTGATATAGTTTAATAATAATTAAATTTAAATTATATATAAATAATAAAAATTATTATATTAATTTAATATTTTATTTAGATATTATTAATATTCAAATTTTATAAATATAAAAATAGCAAACTATTAAAATTTGTATATATTCATTGATATTAAGAAGAGAGTGAATTAGAAGGATATTAAAAATTAGAATTATTTGAACAATATCAATAGATAGTATAGATGAAAGCATATATATAGTTTTAAGATTTAATAAAACAAATGAATATTTAGTAAATAATTATATATTTTAATTTTAATCCATATAATCAAATAATATAAATTAATATTAAAAATAAATAAATTGTTTTTTAATAATACTGTAAGTAACATCAATTGTTATAAATTAAAACTATTAACTTAATAAAATATAATTTATATTAATATTGATATAAATCAATTATAAACAATTTTTGATTTTTGATATAATTTAATAGAAGATAATACCATCAATATATATTAATCAATTATAATTATTTACTAGTGATTATAAATTAACTATTAATAAATAATTTTTTAAAAATTTTTTTAATGATAATAATAATAATAAATTAATAGTTAACTTAAAATTTTTTAATATTAAAATAACATTAATTATAAAATTATAAAATTAATTTTATATTAATAATATTAATAAACATATAAATAATTATATTATTATTATTTTTTTGAAATTTTTAGATTTTAATTAATTTATTTTTTAATATTTCAAATAAAAATATAATAATATATCTTATTTTTTTTATTTTGGATTTTTTTTTCAAATAAAAGATATTTTATACATGTATATTTTTATTAAATTATTTTTATTCAATTATATATATATTAGGTTTGTTTAAATTAATCTCATACTTTACTTATAGATTTATCCAATATATTAATTGAATATTGTAAAGATGAATTTATATTCTGGAAGATATTTTTAAAAGATAAAAACCATGTTACTAATTTTAAACTATTTAACTTAATTTAAATTCTGTTATAATTATATCTATTGTAAAAGAGATACTAATTATTACTTTTTAGAAATTATTAGAACACCTGAATATTATAATACTTTTTGCTTAGAATTTTAGAAAAAGTAAGTTGCCTTTTGTTATTATTTGTGATTTTTAATTATATTAAGTATATATTCAAGATATTATTTTCTTTAAGCAAGTATTAAATTAGAATAGTCTAGGCTAAAATATTTTTTTCTATATTAAAGAGTTTGCTATATTAGATTTGAAAATATAAACTTGTATAAAAATTAAATCAGAAGTCTTTTCTTATATAATCTTTTTTACTTTGATTTATTTTCAATACATGATTATCAAAAAGATTAGAGATTTTATCTTTATGCAATTTAGTTATTTTTAATAGATGATTTGCAACTAATTAGATATAATATGAATCAAAAACCAGTTAATTAATTATGAAAATAATAAATTTTTATAATTAGATGAGTTTGAATCTTAGATTTTTTTCTGTTAACTTATGAAGTATTATTATCAATAATATATCTTAATTAATTATTTTATAATTTAAAATTGTTTATAAAATTCTTATATAATAAAAATTTATTGTAAACTAAATAAATCATATATAATCAATTGGATTTAAATAAATATTAAAGAAAAAAACAGTAAACTTTATTAAATTTATTAAAAATAATATTAATTATATCTAGTTTTTTATTTTTGATATTGATATTAAAAGAAGTTTAATAATTATAAGAATATTTATTGATAATAGATATGTATTAATAAAACAATTCATTAAATGCTTAAATGATTTATATTTTAATTCTTAAATTTTAATTTTTATTTTTATAATAAAAATTTATAAAATTTATAAAACTGTTTTTAATATCAATACAATAAATATATAATAATAATAATAATAATAATAATTTAAGTTTCATGTTTAGATATAAATTTATTAAAATTAAAACTAAAAAGATTATTTATAATAAAATTTTATTAACTTTAATTTATTTGATTTATTTAATTAAAATTTAATAAGTTGTTTTCAGCTTTATGTTTAAAATGAAATTTTACAAAATTTATGACTAAACAGTAAGGTCATCAGTTACAAGTAATAAGAAGTTAAACAAAAATTATTAAGCCAAGTGAGTCTAGATAGAGGCAATATAAAATTAAATCGAAATCCAAGAATATTAATATCACAGGTAATAAAAACAGTACTATTGCACACTATACTGGTGAAATGAGAGTTATTGGTCGGACAACCCGCTTGAAGACCTTTTTGGAGTAGCGTTTCCTAATACGTATTGTTGGAGGCTTATCGTCACACTGATTATCCAAGTATCAACCTTTATCACGTGATTGCATATTGTTAATATTACATAAACCTATTGGTTAAGTCAATTTCTCCAAAGCGAAATCCCGGGCACCCTAAATTAGACTAAATTAGGTAAAATTGGTGTGAGTCTGACCTAGAGTGGACTGAAATATGTAATGTGCATAATTTCACATATCATATGTGTACATTTTACACCGAAAAATATCACATGGACTGTTTCTGATTGGCTAGTAAAAATTTTTGTTTGAAATGACCGGAACTTCGGGTTCCGTGATGATATTTTTTATCATGGGACCCGGAACTTTTGATGTAGACAAAAAAAAATTTTTTACTAGCCAATTAGAAATAGATCATGTGATATTTTCGGTGTAGAATGTACACATATGATATGTGAAATTATCGTCACATATGCCCATATATGCACATTACATATTTCAGTCCACTCTAGTCTGACCCATATGATGTAAAATCTATTTAATTTTGTGACCTTCACATACATGTTTCTCCGATTTTGCGATTTCGCCAATTTAACGATACTATATGATGTAAAAATCTATTTAATTTGTGTGACCTCCTGTACATACATGTATGCAAAAAGAACAATGTTTAGAACAAAAGACAAAACAATGCATATTAATCATTATTATATTGATGGTTTATATCAAGGGTCATTTGATTGGTTGTCAAAAATCCCCATTCTTATTTTTAAATTTCATAATTTGAATGCATTCGAGATAAACAATATATACTGTACATCATAAGTATAGATGGTCTTGCGCTTAATTATCGGTATTATAGATGCCTAAAAGGATTGCTCAATTGGTCTCGTTTAGTCATCAAGGGAAAAGAACCAATAACGTAGGGCAGAATTTAAGTTGCTATTACCGCACTCGTACATCAACTGTGCAGCACCTGTGCAGATGAGCTTTCAGTGAAATTTCCGAATTATGTTCATAATATTCATCACGTGATTAAATATGTAATGATACGTGACGAATTTTGCGAAATGGCCGAGAAATTTTAAATAAATCTCGCGGAACAATTGTTGCACCGATATAAATTAAATTAAAAATTTTGTTGTAAAATTTAAATAGAAAATTAATTAATTAAAAATGCTTTGCAAAAAATTATTATACTAAACATAATAAGCAAAAATTTTCGCGCTTTCGCGAAATTCGGTACGTGTCAATCACTGACATTATCTCGTGACTCAAATAATTCGGAAATTTCACTCGAAAGCACACCTGCACGGCTGTTGCTTTTTCTGCACCCCAAGATAGCAACTTATAACGTAACGTAGTGGTCCGATCGAATATACGTAGATGATAATATGACCAATAAGTATGGATGCTTATTGTGGAATATTTCGGAAAAATTTCATCTGAATCTGCATCCAGTTAGTTTTTCCACAATAGACAGTTCTACTACGTTGCGCGAAGAAGGTAGGGCAAAGTTCATTTCATTCTCGTCATTTTTCTTTATTCACTTCCATCATGAATAACATGTCCTTATAAATATATCTTTCCACTAGCCAGAAGCTTCCATAACATCATGTTTTTGCTAACGATAAAAATAAAAATTATAACATGTTAACTAAAATACTTAGAGTCTTTTCAAAGCCACCATCTAAAACGAAGCTGTATTGCTCTTTATTTGGATTGTTTATCTATTCCAACAGAGTGATAAATCTCCTAACGGAGTATCAATTATCTACCATCAATATTGAACGTTCGATACCACAGGACGTTAGGGGGCTCAAGCAATTCATTTCCTAAAACGAGTGATCTTAAAAAGATCCAAAATACTGTACCTCTGTATTACACGTTGTTATTACACCCTGTATCACATTAACCTAGAAAGCCTAGAAAGCGGATATGGATCTTGCACGTGGTTTTATCATTTACTTACAGTATATAAATCCAAAGTTTCAGATAAGATTATTTATACCAATTTATCACTATTTTCTAATTACCTCTATCATGAACAATCAAGTTATTTACAAATTATATCATACTAATAGTCAAGGAGAAATCTTCTATGTCGATAGTCAAGGCTGGATTTTCAATATTAATAATTTGAAATACCCAGTCCTAAAGGGTCATCTAACCGACATAAGCTTAATGAACTCGATAGGTGTTTTAACCTTAAACACGTATCTTGCTGAAGTCACGACTCCTACTCCTATAAAACAACACGGGTGCGCCTTCTGTAAAAAAGGATTTCAATCTCCGAGCGCGTTAAAAATTCACTATAACTCTCATACCGGAGAAAGACGTAGGTCAATGATTCTTTTAATAACCTTATTACATTCAGGGCAACAGAAGTATCAAACAACTAATCCTTTTTTAGCATATATTTGTCAAGTTGAAGGATGCGGAAAATCCTACACGACAATTAGTAATCTTTATCGTCACAACAAAAACCATAAGTAGAGGGGTAAACTTTTATTTTCTTATTCTTTTTAAGAATGCTATTTTATAAAAAAAAATATTTTTAATTGTGCACGAATCGTGGATGTAAAGAGAAATTATGTTTCAAGTTTATTTATCGTCGTTAAGGACAATTATTACATTATATAGAAACTATTCGACAGTACATATATCAATAACTCTTGAATAAAATAAAAAAATTTTTATAAGTGATGAGAGAGCAAACTTCAACTATCTAACATTATATTATCGAGGTCTTGCTTTCCCTTGGCATCACTCAAATAATGTAAAAACCACCGGACGGAAGATCCAAGACTATCGAGAGGGAATGGGGTGTAAAGCCCACCGGGCGAGAGAATCCAAGACCACCGAGAGGGGTGGAGGGTATAAAAGCCACAGAACGGGAGAATCCAAGATCCCCGAATGGGTTACGTCGAAACCAATTACGTACATTGATAAAAAGATCTAATATATTAAATTAGAAATACTATTTTGATAATAAAATTATTTTTTTAAAAAAATTAATATTATAATATTATAATGCATAATACTAAGTTAGAGCAGGGAATAGTGACGCTTCAGGTAAAAAAAAAACAAACAAATTTTTTTGGGTGGTTAATATATAAAGTTGCGTCAGCCATTAGTATGCAACGTTTAATGTGGGAACCATTGTGCGAAATATTAAGTATTGTGGGAAAGAAGTAATAAGTCAATAAAAATCATTATACTGTGAGTTTGACTAAAATGATTTTTGCATCGGTGTAGTTGTACCAAGAGACCCCGTCGGTTATATCTACCACTAACTTTATACTTTCGCAAAGTATTCAAAGTAGATAAGGCAATTAATTTTATTCTTTCTATCTTATTAAACACATAGACCATTTAATCGACGTAAGCTTAATTGGTGTCTTAACCTTAACATCATATTAAAGGCCTTAACTTTTAATCTCCGAACGCATTAATCTATTGTAATTTTCTTTAATAAATTACATACTCTGCATCACGTGTCAAGTTGAAATCTTCGTCACATACTAGAGAAAATTCATCACGTTTATCTACTGTATGTATAACATAAGCAAAAAAATATAATTATATTCTTATTTTAATAATACAAATTCTTTAAGATTTATTAAATAATTTGAGGTGTTTTCTTGATTGCTTGAAACATGCTTTTAAATTTTTCGTACTTACTTGTTTATCACGTGACATAATAGTTTTTGTTAGTAAATAGCATTTTGTTACACGCACGAAAATTTTAAAATCACGTCTTTCCCAAGCTTGCACAACTTTTGAAGTGGCTTGGAGAGCAGGATTTTGATGGATAAATATTTTTCCAAATGTACTTTGGCCCCAAGGACCGAATAATTTGACCGAGCTTAATGTTCTTACGGGCGTGGGCTATTTCTATAGCCGCTCAACCAAGGCTGTACATCAAATGTCTGCTTTAGGATGTAAGGTAAACGTATGCTAGAATCTTATAGTTCGGATATAAAATGCTGTGCAAGGAAATTTATGATCGATTAATATGTGGAGAGAGGTTGGGAGAAACCACCATCAGTTAGATCTTAAACGAACACGAACGAATAGGTTAAAAGAAGTATTTTATTATTATTATATTATGACATTGCATACTGTATTTGTATATTGTAAATATCGATAAATATATTCAACTAATTATTATTTTTTATTAAAAAAAAAATGGAATTTAAATTAGAAAGCTATATTACAAAAATTCCCGATTATTTTATCAAGAAAAAAACTCATTAAGTAATTCGAAATAAAATATTTTCAGATACAGTATTTCTTGTTTTTTGTTTTACGAAAACAAATTAAATTGATTTTTTTATAAAAAGTCTTTTATTATTTATTTTTTTTTAATTAAAAAAAAGTATATATGTTTTTTTTAAAAATAATAGATAAAATTATTATTATATACTGTATGTAGTTTTATTATTTATTTTTAAAAAATAAGTATAACAATAATTAATAACTTTTAAATATTTAAATCTTTAGTTCTTTGTTATTATTAAATTATAAATAATATATATATGGAATCGCGATCTTTTAGGCAAATGTTTAAAGAAATAGTTTAATTTTATTAATTTAATTTTTTTAAACTATTATTTAATAAATCATTGAATAGTGAGGATCAAAAAGTTTTCCTGTTCGCGCACGTAATCAGAATGATTTTCTTTTATTTGTAAATTCCGTTCGATACTATACAAACATAGATTAAATGAGATAATTGAAATATGCGGTAGTACACCGTCTATCCTTTATCTATCCTTTTTTGCTTTGACCGTTACGTATAAAAAATATATATATATATTTATAATGTTTGATGACCACAACTTATTTAGACATAGTTTTTCCATCATACAAGATGTCGTAATCCGTCAGAATCTTTATCTTTTTCAATCATTATACCTTATTATCACGCGACAGTCATTATACGTCGCTGTTGTGACAGATTTCACAGAAGATCAGGTGCTACGGCAGTTGTTTTAGGTGACTCTTCGATTTTTTGAATCAAAATAAACAAAATAACTATCCTTATTATCCTCAATGCGGTATGTAGTACTGTACCAAATATCACGGCTTTATTTGATACTTCTCAATGCTTACCGAATCTAATGGTTTTCTCCTGCGTTATGTATACCAAATCACATGCACCCTCAATGTGTATCATAATCCAATGGCATTCTTCTGTAGTCTCAATTAATACTCTCAGAAATATATACTATAAATGCTATATAAACGCCCTAATTCTTGAATCAATAGACAAATAAATTTTATCACCATTCCTTTAAACCACTTCTGTTATGAATAATAAAGTTATTTACAGATTATACTATACTAATAGTCAGGGAGAAACATTCTATGTTGAAGATCAAGGCTGGGTTTTTAATATTAATGATTTAAAATCCCCTGTCCTAATGGGTCATTTAACCGACGCAAGATTAATGAACTCGATAGGTGCTTTAACCTTAAAATCTTATCAAACTGAAATCAATGTTTCTATTTTAACCAAACAACATGGATGCAACTTCTGTGGTAAAGCATTTCAATATCCGAGCGCGTTAAAAATCCACTACAACTCTCATACAGGGGAAAGACGTAAGTCTAATGTTCAACAAATTATGCATTTATTCCCTTCAGGATGATGTAAGTTAACTAGAAAAAAAACTTTTTTAGCATATACATGTCAAGTTGAAGGATGCGGAAAATCTTACACCACACGTAGTAATCTCCTTCGTCACAAAAAAAACCATGCTAGAGAATAGGCAACACACTTCTACTTCTAAATGTGACAACAAATATCATTAAATTTTTTCATTATTTAAATAGCACGTCTCTCGAGAATTTATTTAATAAATTAGGAAGTGATTGTTTGAAATATAGTTTTAAATTATTGCTATTTTATTAAAAGAAAATCTGTTGTCATATATTAATACCAAATTGCTTGAATATATTTGAAGGTCCAAAATTTATTTATCTTTTAAGCAATTTTAATGTGTGTTTGCATGTAAATTTTAAGAATAATTCAGAATACCGCGTCTAACACCGCAGCTCCTTAAATTTTAAAAAGTCAAAAAAAAAAGCTTAATAATAGTCAAAAAAAAATTTTGATTGCGTTAATGTTCGATCTAGAACTAACTTTGAAAGTGTATGTTAATCCGATTTAACTTTAGACCAGAGTGAAAAAAAAATGCAAGAGGAATTTCTTTTCGGTCAATACAGTAATCAACTCCGCCAAACGATGAATAAGAGCATTATAAAGGGATAATTCTTTTTTTTAAGGAAAATTCCTGTAAATTTCAGCTCAACTTTGAAGTGCTACATAAATAAAAAGATTTTTTAACTAATTCTTTTGTCGAAAAAAAAAACAAAAAATTTTTATGCTTTCTTTCCTAGAGAAAACCATAAATAATGACAAATCCACATCAACAGATTCCTTCTGCCTCGTCTGAGATGCCACCACCACTCTTCAATGAATCATTCGAATGTCATTCCTTCCATGATACAGTAATTCGCTAACCGATGTAGGTGACACGGGAAAGCAAACGATGTCAGCATAACATGGCAACCGGCAACCGGCAACCAGAAAAATTACTCACCCAAAAAACTATTTAGAATGTTTCTATCAGATACACAACCCAAACTCTTAGATTTGAGCAAAAATTCAGAAACCAAGAAGCCTAACGAAGTCAAAATTAAAGCCAAAATTAAAGCTAGCAATGTCACAAAATCTACCAAGATTCACAACCTCAACAATAATCATGTGAGTCTCCACAACAGTCATCCGAACCACGAATCATCGTCCTCGCAAGAATCATTATCCGATGAAATCTCACTCCAAGTCATCATCAGGAATCACACTTAGCTTGACATCTTTACTCAATCCAGAGTGATGATGGATCGTGATCTCTTAGAGACATCCTTGATACGTCTAATACCGGCGAAATAAAATTCGTTCGCCTTTCGCCACCACCGCCGATGGAATGGGGAAAAGTTATTTGAAAATATTAACAATATGCAACTAGATATGGAACGTTAAAAGACATCGCGCCAAAAATTACTTGGAAAGGTCAGCAGCCCCTATCCATCTTTCACTTACCCCATTTTAATGCCCTGCACCCAAATGAGCTCATGGTAGTATCCACAATACGTCTCACTCCTGTGCAGTACTTGACCTTAAAAACTTTGGTATCAGCCGTCCAACGTTACATTCAACGATTACTTCCTTTTCACAAGAGCGATGCACAAAAATTACTCCGAATTGATGTAAATAAAGCCAGCAAGTTATTTTCGGTGCATGTTTTAAATCAATAATAATTAGGTTGCTTTTAAATTTGCAGAAATAACCTTATTTTGTAAATATATATTTTACTCTTTTCTATGTACCAAAGTCAATTATACTGTATGTATCATTTACAAGTTAGAGAAATGGGTAATTATTTTTGGACCGGAAATTTTCTGATGGGATCCTGAAATTTATACTATATATGTATTGTTTAAAAGTTGGGTCCGAAAAATCATATCTAGCATTTTTGATGCCTTCAAAAATAATTACCCAAATAAATCATAATTTCATAGACAGAAAAATATGATAAAATTTATATGAAAGAAGCTCTCCTTCCGTTCAATGTCAAAATAAAATGATTTACGCTCTTGAATGAGTCATGGTGTAACCGAGGGCACCTCTTTTTTTGTCTTTAGTGCTTTGAACAAACAATCTTCCGAATATTAACAGTCAAAAACCTTACTCCGAAAAAACTATTACATCATTAGGTTAATGTCGACATGGCTCGGTTTTTATTTCAACCTTGTCAATTGGTGCGATAAGACTAATCCTAATAAAAGACAATTAAGATGGAGAAAAAAAAACCTCCGTTGGAACGAATATTTGTCATCAACGAGAATTCCGAATAATTTGGCATAATAACAACAATTTAAAGTGAATGGCTTCAAATTGATTAGAAACAGCTTGAAATGCATGCAAATGTACAATGCACTGTTTCTCGTTTTTCTTGAATTAAATAAACTCATTTCGATAAATTAATTAAAATGCTAGATCTCCAAAATAGTTTCATTGGTTATCAATATAGTTGAATTTCGCCTGTTTTCTTTACTGTATCACCCTGCAGATTCAGGTTTCACCTATCTGTAAAAACTAGGGTGCTCACCCGTTTCTTTAAACAAAAATAACGGAAGTTCAGGAGAAAAGGAATGATTAGCAATCTTCCTCCTCTATCTAAGTGGGTCAACGCTGCGTTGGAATTATTCTTTTCAGGCTCCGATTATTGAAATCGAGATTTCGCTTTTTTTTGATCCTCAAAACCAAATTTTTAAACAAATAAACGCAAACAATTTGTTGTTAGCTTGTGTAAACAATAAACTAAAGAGATCCTGACATTCGCTAACAATAACAACTGATAATAGAAATCTATTGGCGCTCCTTTTTTTGTAATTATAGAAGAAACCTAAAAAATCCACCAATTCCGTGTACTACAGCTATTATGATGACATGACCTATTTCCCAGATCATAGCAAAACATCGATCTTTGCCTTATTTCTTTTTTTATCTAAGGAAGGAAACACCTTTTCAAATTCATCGGCAAATATTTATTTCTTAACAAAGACACAAAAACCTTTTGATTTTACAAGATCCCGAAATGTAACCTTCCATCATTTTTTGCTTACCACTGCTCGATTATCATGTAACCCCAATGGTTAAGCCAAGCCATTGCCGATGCAAAAAAAAAATAATTTTGAATTGTTTTAATTGATTCGAACAATACTGTACCTCACATTCCACGGAGATAACCCTCTATCACCCGTGATCATTAAATAATTATTTCCAGAGGGAGCTTAACATATATTGTGTTATAGTTGAAGAACTGATTTGAGAAAAAATTCGATTCAAAATTTATTATTTACTTATTTCTAAAAAACGACGTGGTGACCCTAATTAAATTACTTATTCGTTAATGAAGAGATTATTGATGAAACATAGCAGAGCGGACTTATGATAAAACACATAGCACAAACACCTCTCGGTAAAAGAAAATATTCTATATGATCTGAAAGTAGTTACGATCAAAAATCTTCTGGGGTCTCAGTTCACTCGGTAAAGAAAATCTGATTTTTTTTTTAACTTTATTTTATTAATCATATCTATTTTTGCGTATTAAGTAAGTATAATATAGATAACTAAATATATATACAATGAAAGTTTCGATAATTTTTAATGACATTTTATTAGTAACATTTATGGTTTACATTTATGTGTATTTTTTTTATTTTTATTTTAATATTAATATTCTTGTTATTATTAATTAATCTTGCTTTTTATGTTTTTAAATTGCTTATTTATTAAATTTTATAAATTTATACTATTGACAAAAAGCCAATTTTCAAAACTATTAGCATTGATTTATAATCATAATTTCATGTAAAATTTTTTATTTTATTATGAAAATTAATCTTAATAAATCAAATTAGCTTATTTATTATAATGAATTCTATTTCAAAAATAATTTTTTTTTATAATTTTAATGAAATTATCATAACATAATATGCAATTTTAAATAAATATAAATTGTTAAATTAAACAATAGAATTTTATTTTTTTTTGGATGCTAAGTGAGACATTTCTCATATCTTTATTAATAGAGTAATTATAATATTACATGATTAATATTAAGATATTAAAATATATCATTATATAGCCTACCATCATTTTAAATAGATTTCTGATAAAAAACCTTGAGGCAAGGATAAGAAAAAGTAACTATTTAGTTTTGAGAGCTAATGCCTTCCTAATAGTTTATTTTATTCTGTAGAAACATAAATAAATTTTGAAAAAATAATTAAATAATGATATTAGTTAGTTTGTTATTTTAATTTGTATTGTTAATTGTTGGGTTATTTGTTATTATTTATTAGTATTGATGTTTTTTGTCTTTTTGTATATTGTAAGATTTGTTGTTGTTTTTTTTGTATTTGATGTTTTGTAATACATTTAAAAAAAATTTTTTTGTGATTATTTCTTGGTTATAATAGAATTTTATATAAATTTAACAAAATTTTTGTCAAATATAAATATTTTTATTATAAATACTATATATTTATTTTATTAACTAAAATTAATTTAAATTATAAATTTAAAGATTTTATATGAAAACTATTATTAAATATAATTGTTTAAAAATAATTATTTTTTATATTATTTTTTTTGTTAAGTGAACCATTTCTTTTTTCTTGTTTTTTTTCAATTTAAAGTATAATATGTATACAATTTATTGTTAATTAATGAAGATCACAAATATATATTACATAAATAGTTTATTAACTGATATTATCCATTCTATTTTATCAAAATATTAATTTATATCTCATAAGTAAATTTATATTTAGGTTTATACTATATTTTTCTATATATAAATATAATATAAGAAATATACTATCTGATAATTAAAAAATTTTTCCAACAGTTTTTTTTTTTTAATTTATGATTTAACTTTTTTTTAAATAAATTATCAATCCAGATCATATCAATATCAAGTAGGATAATTAAGTTTTAAAGTCAGTTAATTCAGTCTAGAATATTAAATAATTGAATATAACTTATTTAAAAAATTAGTCAATCTAAATAGAAAAAATAGTACTATATAAATTGTTATATCAGTTAGAATTGCAAACTTTTATAAGAATTAAACCAGAAGTCTTATCTTATGCAATCTTTCCTACTTTAATCTATTTTTAGCTTATAATTATCAAAAAACAAAAAGTCTTATCTTTATACAGTTTAATTAGATTTGATCAAAATTTAAATACTTAAGTATAATAATATATTGTCATATATCATTTCTACCTCTGGAAAAGATAAAGATGAAAAACTAGTAATAGGGAGACACTTTAGATAGACAGGGTCAATGTAATATGCTAAAGCTTCTAGAGATGTACAAATTAGTACAGTTTTGAGATATATGAGGTCAGACAAAAGAAATAATAGTAATTTGTTTGTAAAAATCAAGATATTTATTCAATAAAATATAAGTTCAAGCCTGCCAATTCTTAGGCGAAATTGGAGCCTTTATATACATGTTTAGGTTATAATATTTTTGTACAGAATAAATATATACTATAGTAAAAATATAAACTAAAATATAGATACTATTTTCATCAGAATATTCAACTGTGTTAGCATTTACATAGATAAATACTTTGACAAAGATAATATAGAAAGTAAAGATAAAATAAAATAGAAATATTCTAAAAATAGTTAAGGTACAATAGATACAATAAATACTGAAGGTGCAGTAACAAATCTGTAATACAAAACTATTCTAAAATAACTAACATTTCAAGAATCAATACTAGTAAAAATCAGACAAGGGGTAGTAAAAATCTTGGACAAAAATCAAGTGTAACAATTCTTCCTCACTAATCTATAAGTTCTATAAATTTAATCTTATATTAGAATAATAAAATTAGAGTGTGACAATTGTTTAATTAGACAAAAGATAGTAAATCAGATTCTATAAATTTGATGAACTCCAACTTTATTAAAAAAGTAATATATGCGTGTGATAGTGGAAGAATAATATCTGGTAATCTGTGAATTTATGTAAAAAGATCCTTTTTTGTCTGTCTTTTTACTATTAAATTTGAGAAGACAAATATTTAATTGTTTTTTAAAATCTTATACTAAAGATGACTTAAAGTGAAGATAAAATTCGTGTAACCTTTCTTTTAAGGAATCTTTGTAAAGACTATAATACTCACAATTGTCTAAAATATGTGTTTGTAAAATGTTTTGAATACACAAAAGATTACACAAGTCTTTATTCAAATATATTGGTTGTACAAGTGTTTGAA